ACTACAAAATAAAAGTGACAAACCATTTTTTGACTGAATTCTTGTCTTTCTCCTCTAACAAGTCCCGTAACAATAATCTGTTCCAGAAAAATCGCTCATCAGAATCAAGAGGGTTAGAAAAATGTCTGAAGTAATTTGATACGAGGTACTCTTTGCATAGCAAAGTAAACAACCCAACCTTTGAGTGCACTGAGTTATGTCTCTCTCAAAACAAAAGTAAAAACCGGGATTGTCATTGAATAAGCGTAATATTTCCTCGAGCAAAGCAAAGGGTCTCTGCACATTACCTTGAGCAATTAAAATAAAAATATTATTAGATACGTTGAAGTCACCAAACCGATTTTATCCTGCACAAATTTTAACAGTTTTCCAGTGCTCTGCTTCAGGCGTTGGGCAGAAGAATCAGTCGGAACTCCAGCAGCAGGTAATGCTTCTAAGCTTCCTAAAGGGTCCAGTAAAATAGCTTTCACGTGATCGATGCGGTGAATGGGATGTTTCCCCTAAATTTTCGAAAAGATGATAGAAAACTTATAAATATATGTCTGCCTTGCCTGCACATCGCTCAACTCAGCTACTACAGTGCTACTGGTGACGCAGAGGAGATAGTTCAGACCATCGAGATCGAGTCGTCCAATAACCGAGACAATATCGCACACTTCCTCTGCATCCATAGGTATGACATCTGGAATGAAATCTATTTCAGTTGTAGGTAGAGATCCATCGGATGAAAATCGAGCAGAAATCAAAAAGTTCATTATTCATGAGTGCGAAAGTATTCACACTTCGCACTTGCCAGAAACTGGCACAGTAATTTGTAGGGACTGTGAAATGACTTCGATGGTTACTAATTTGTGCGTTTCAGAAAATAAACCTCAGTATCTAAATAATTTATGCGAACATCTTACCTAGCGTTGGGGATGCAGAAAGCCGTCCATCCAATTTCGAACAGATAAGGCGAGATCCATTGTCTTCAATAATGTAAGAAGTTATAGTAGAGTAGAGCTTCATTAGATCCTTCTCAAAAGGTACATAGCTGCAATGTCATGGTAAATATTTTGTAAGACCTCCAATGGCCGTATTCATAGACGTTGACCATTGGGTAAGCTTACCCAGTGGGTAGGCTTTGAGCACGACACCGGTATTCAGGAAACTGCTGGGTAAGCGGACTTAGTAGTGCTTTTTGTGGATATCGATTCAAACCAGTGGCACTGTTTCACTTACCCACTG